GCGCAGCGGTGCAGGCGCGGCCTGAGACGCCCCAGCTGCCCACGGGGTGGGGGTCCCCTCGTCCGCACCCACCCCGTGCGCAGGCCTCCGGCACGGGTCTGGCCTTGGCTGACCTGACGCGGGCTTCCTTACTCGCGTGGCTGGTCCCCGCCACGCGCATTCTCATCACTACGCTCTCAGTGTTCTTGGTGCTGGAGAGGGAAGGAACATGAAGGTCCCATTTCATCGGTACTTTGGAATCAGGACGAGCGTAAACCTTGCAACTCATTCCCGCAGGGTCGCCACGGCAGGGTTTACAAGTCCCGGCACCCAGGCGTACAGGGGGGAGGCGTGAGGGGCCAGACAGACATGGTTTTCCTCCGCATCGGGCATGGTGGGGTGACCCTACATCGTACAGACAGAGCCGGGCCGCGGCGTCTAAACAGCGGGTGGTGGTGTAAGAGCACAGCAGCGGGAATAGACACATCGGAGCGTGAGAGAGGCAATACTTTTCCATAACGGTAGTCAACAGGTTTCAAGTCAAAATGGAATCGAGATGTGAAGCACATTGTACAACATACAGGTTAATTCGTCAGGAAAACAAGCCAAACGCGCCGAGGCATGCCCACCCGCCGCGTGCTAACTCCCGGCCCTGCCACCAGGCCTGGCGGGGGCCACGTGGCGCCGAGTCCGAGTTCATGTCGCCCAGACGGACACTCGTCATCGTCCAGAGGGCTAAGCGAGCTCACCGTTGCGGGGCACACACGCTTCCTCTGGTATGTGATTAATGAGCAGGTGGAGCTTAAAAGGCAAAGCAACATCAACGCGCAACAGCGGTGCACATTCTGGTCCCACGGCAGGAGAAACTCTAACTAGCACACAGAGGAGGGCGCCCACCGAGCAGAAAGCGGTCTCCCATGGCCCCGCGGCCTCTCGGAGGGTGACAGCCGCTGACTCGACTCTAGACGCCGACAGCCAACACGGGACGGGCGAGCTTTCCTGGCAAAGCCCACTGGGCCCTAACTACGGGCGTGGGACTCATCGACGCTTCAGGGAGGGAAGTCATGCAGGTTTCCACGTGGGCTCTGGGGGACTCTGCTCCTGCCGCCGGGCCCCTTCCACACGCCTCAGAGACCGACCGGTCCTCTTAGTTCCCACTCAAGACTGCAACTAGCTTTTGAAATTATTCCTTTGCTGAGCTTTCTAAAATGTCCAGTCTTTTTCGTCGCCCTGTCTTGTCTCAAATTATTTTTCTCCACGTGATCCATTTTGGTAACGTTTTCCAGCAGGCTAATGGATGTCACAGAGTAAAACAGCTAATGGATAAAGGACAAGAAACTACGGTCACGTGGCCCCTTTCATACTTTGTGTGTTTTTGCCAAACTCTGCTTCACTCCTGAAGCTGAAAATGGTCTTGGCAGAAGAAAGAAAACTCTTAGGTATCGTGTCACCAGAAGGGACCACCCTGGGGGACTGAGGCAGCAGCCTCCTGGGCCAGGAGACAAAAGGAGAGAAGCCTATGCCACGGAGCACCCCGAGGCCGGGAGGAAGAGATGAAACCACCTCGCGTTTCATGGATGGGGTCGACTCTTTCCCACTTTAAAACATACCCAGTGGTGGCTGGGTGCAGGGCACCTGCATGTGTTCAATTTTTAGGACAAAACTACCCATATTTAACATCATACATGGAATTAAAACGTTTGTATACATTTCATGACGTGTTTATTTTTTCCTACCCAGAGAAAAAGCAAACCATCAACAGAAAACATCTACAGCCCGTGTTGGGCCGGGGAAAAGAGTAAGTCATGAGTCTCTCCCCTACGGCGAGGTACCCATCTGCACCCCAGAAGACACCGCTTGAAAAAAAAAACAAACAAACGAACAAAATCACACAACTGATCACCTGCATGTCCCAGCGAGTCGGAGTAGCGCCCCGGACAGCGCCCAGCCCGCCGAGCTCCCGGCGCGGGGCGCGGCCGGAGGACACTGGCCTGGACGGCCGGGGGTCCCCTCGTGCGGCGAGCCCGGGGGCCGCTGCTGGCCGAGCGCGGCTCTCAGCCCTGGCAGACTTGGCAGTGAGTCTCTGCGGGCGGAGCGCACACAGCGCCCGCGGCTGTCGGCTGTCGTTGCTTCTAGAAACAACTGGCGAAAAAATATTTAAAGCTAAAATTTATTGCTCCAGATTTAACTCGCAGAACCATACTGTGGTGTACAAACTGTTAATCTCCATAGATGCTCAGACGTGATTGTCTCCTTGTGTCCAAACACACAAAATACAAGCTGCTATCTGTACAGTTTACAGTACTGAAACACATATATTTGAAAATGAAGTATAGATATGTACTTTGCAAAGATACATGATTTTACAGCAGGGGTTTACCCAAACTTCTTTTTTTTTCTTTTTTTTTCTTTTTTACAGTCACTTTTAAAATAGACAACAACTTCACTAGGATCGCTAAATTACAACAAAGAAAATCAGTGTATTGAAACGGAATAGACCGGCCGATTCCCCACGCTCCCAGATTACTTTTATAGGTCTTTTTTTTTTTTCCTTTGCTTTTCCTTTTTTTTTTTGTTTTTGTTTTTGTTTTTGAAGAAACCCCGATACACAAAATGAAAATAATATCTGGATATTTTCTTCAGTGGTGGACTAAGCAGTTTCTTAAAACAAGACACTAGTGTGCCCTTCACTTCCAAATGCCTTGAAAATAAGATAAACTACTGCTTTAAAAGAACCATCGGAATGCTTCGGCGCTGGGAACAGGCGTTCTCTATAAAAAAAAAGCAAGAAAACAAGTTAAGCTTTCTTTCTAGGCCAAGATCAAATTAGCGTTCTCTCCTTTACAATTCCGCAACATTTTTACGCAGCAATACACAACATGTTTCAAAACCTGATTAGAAATGCTCCATGTTAGAAGATCCCAAACATGATATTCTTGAGTTTAATGCTGATTTATTGAATGTAACGATTAAAACACATTGATCTAAAAAAACACAGGATCCAGCAGGGGGTGCGGACAGTCTCCGCCGCGGCTGAGGAAGTCTCAAGCTAGGCACCAACAGCAGAAGACCGGCCAGAACGCGTGCCAAAGTCCGTCGCTGCCCACATATGCCTCCGACGTGGTGCTGGCGTTTGGAACTCACTGAGGTCGTGTCTCCATTCTGGAGAATTGTAGGGCACCGGTCTCACCCTGTCCCCTGCCGGTCACCAACGCCACTCTCCCCCCACGCGCTAGTGGGGGCTAGACAGACAAAAATGTGTCACCACCTCACGGTACATCTTCACTTTCAACAAAATGGAATCCTGTCTGTGAACGGGACACTTAACCGCTGAGACGCAGTGGCACTATTCCTTCTTACCATAAACAGACTACGGTTTTCCAAACAACTCGTAAGCCAGCGCCAGGAAAATAGGAGCGATCCTTCTAACATCTGTCAGCACTTTTGTTAGCCAGTAGTTAGGCGACTGGATGTTCCTTCAACAGTCCACCAAGCACGAGCCTCGTTACAGAACAGAATCACAAGAGTCCACCCTAGAGGGACAGGAGACGCAGCTAAGAGTGGACTTTCCCTTGGGGGCAAATGGAAGAGAGCTGATTTGACCTTCCAACACGCCAGTGCAGACTGTAAGATGGCTGCTAACGGTAAATCTGTATATAGATTGCTAAGCAGACTGTTACCAAGATACTGAGTAAGTGCAGGACACACACACACACACTCTCTCTCCCTCTCACACACACACATGCCTTTGTAAACATCTTAAGGTCGTTGGGAGGAGCATGTAAGTTTCCTCTATGTGAAAAATTCTACTACAAACACTTGTAAAATTGAGGATAGCTTTTATTTTCTCACACATGGTAGATGTGGTTCACAGTCCTGCTGTAGTAACAGCATCTAAAAATAAAAGTGTATTAATTAAGATGTCATTGAGATTTAAATAGCTAGCTGCTCTTCACTATCCTCACTGAGAATAATTTTCAGAAAATCGTCCACAAGTCCCTACAAGACATTTCAAAGGAATGTGTTAAACTAAAAGTGACTACAGTTTATCTCCTAAGTCTGCACACACACATACATGTAAGTGTGGGTGTACACACACTTTAAGGTATATGCATGCACACATTACTTTTGAAACATTTTCTAAAAGCAAAACATCCATTAGCCCCTAAGAACAGCATTTCTGAACGTTTGACTCCTTCCTCCTCATAATTCATCCTTTCCCTCTCTCCAACTGACTACACACCTGAGCCCCGAACATTTAACCCAGCGATGAGTAAAAAAAAAAAACCACCTTTACTTCCAGAAATTATTTTTTGAATAACAAACCTATCGCTTCTGTATGCCCTTTGCATTTGTTCAATCGCTATTAAAGGAACCACACCGAGTAACGGGAAACTAACACATTCCTCTAATAGTCATGTTTCCCCCTCACACACACTCACACACGGTCACACACAGACAGTCAATGCAAACTCCGTGGTGGGTACCAGATGCTAACTCGCTGTCTGGTGCCAAATAAGTATAAATTTTATAGAAGTGTGCATACTTATAGAAATGTAACCATTTCTAACAAGATACGCTTGCTCCAAGCATATTCATGCGATTACAGATTCACATATGAAAAGTAAACATGTGCATATGTATCCCTATGGATTCGCATTTACATGTGTGCTGTAGGACACGGGCCGCCAGCTGGCTCCCGGCAGCCAACGGGAAGCCAGACAGTGGGTGTGCACCTCGCCCTCCTCATCTTGTGTCTTGATAAACATGTATGTTTATGAAGATAAACACCAAAAATACACGCAGCGCATTTTCTGAGCAAACGGGGCCCCTCGCGCTCAGCTGCTGCTCAGTGAGGCCTGGCCCGCTCCGGGCTCTCGCCGGACGTCTCCCTGCTCTCGCAGCGTTCAGAAGAGGCTTCCCGGCCGGCCCCCAGGGGCAGAGGCCACCGACAGGGAGGAGGCGCTCGCCGCTCACGCCGCTCACGCCGCTGAGGCCGAACGAGCAAGGCTGGGGGCTGCTTTCTGCGCCACCTCGGGTCTCCGCGCGAGGGGCGGCCTGCCTCGGGGGACGGGGGCGCGGGCCGGGAGCAGCTTCTCGGCGTCGTTTCTTCCTTCCATAAGGACGATGCAAGGCGAAGAGTCAGGTGTATCAACGGGAAAACGAGCACCAAAGTGAGGGGTGCAGTAAAGCCACGAGGCCTCCCCGAGACCACGGCCACGGCGCTCCCCGGAAATCTGGAGGCGGCGTTCTCTGGCGGCTGTATTTCGGGGTCACGCGCGACAGGAGGCCCGGCCCTCAGGCCCTGAGCTGGTCCCTGACTCGGCCCACTGCCAGGGGCCTGTCTTGTCTCTGTCAGCGGGGGAGGCGGACTCGGAAGACGCCGCTGTGACGTCTCTGTTGTGCCGGGCTGGGAGAGCAGACCCGCTCCTTTCGGGTTCCACAGATGCCAGCCGGGTTCGCCGCCAGGAACTCACACCCCCGGTGAGATTACAGCGACTTTCTGGATCCCCGTGACGCCTGCAGGGATCCTTCTGAGGGACAGGAGAGCCGGGTTCCCCGGGAAGGGGCGGGGAGGCAGGCGCCGCCTGGCCTGCGCTCCTCAGCCTCGCGTCCGTCCGTCTGGCAGCGCTCTGGACCTGGCCCTCGCTGCCTGGCCAGCCTGGCTCCCGGGCGCCGGGCAGCCCTGCGGCCTGTCCTCCGCAAAGCCGGTCGTCCAGCGAATTCGCCCCTTCCTGCCAGATACAGCGCGGCCTTCGAGCAGAAAGGGATGCCTGCGTTCCTCTGGCAACTGCAAAAAGCACGGGCAGTTGCTTGAAGGAAAGGACGAGTTCATCAAGGCCAAGTATGATTTCCACTCGCTTTAAAAACGACAACAATGATCGGTATCTCCGGCAGACGCGCCTTTCGGTTGGTTTCTGTTAAACCAGCCACGAGGACTAATCAAACGTCCCAGAGTGAGACCCCCGGAGCGTCCCCCGAGGGACAGCAGCGTGACGCCCTCTTTCTCGGGGTCTCCTGAGCAGGGGCACCTGCAGGCCAAGCGAGCACCTACACGTTGTGTCAGAGTCTACGAAACTCGGCCCCAAAGATGGGGTGCCCACCGTCTGCGCACCCAAAGACGAAGGCCCATCGCATGCAGGCAGAGGCTGTGAAACACGGCGCTTTGCAGCACCAGACTGACCGTCTCAAACACGATGGCACGTGGGCTTTCAGGGAGCAAAGGGACGGCAGCTTTGGGTGCTAACATGCACCTCAAGATACAGGGTCACAGACTGAGACGACGACTGGGTCGTGAGAACGGTGGAACTGAACGGCCTTTCCAGTCCCGACCCGGACTTGGAACCCCCAGAGCTCCGTGCCACCCCCGGACAGGGCCACTGTAAGTGGGGCGAGGTGGGGGGGGTCACGTACAAAGGTTCCCAAGTGGAAGCCAGTATTCTGGGTACCGCCGTTCCCACACGCATCGAAGACCGACTCCAGTCTCCCTGTTAGGGAGGAAAAGCCTGTGGCCCAGTCGCGCCCTGGCTCCCGCTGAGGGCACGAGGCCTCCCCAGTCGCTCTGAGCACCCGCGCCAGCTCAGCCGCGGGGAGGCCCCCCGAAACCCCTCCTTCCTGGGAGGCTACAACCTTGGAGCCGAGCCTCCCTGCATCTCAGCGGACCTCCTCACACTAGAAATTGAAAACCTGAATGAATCACTAAATTCTGTAACGGAAAGTACGTGACTGAGTATGAAAAAGACTCCAGCAGGCCTTAGGTCGTCGGCTGTATTTCGTTTTGACTTGATCAAGCTCGTGGGGGTTTCAGGTGAACTAAAGAAAAAGGACTCTTGATGGCGGGGGAAAAACTACATTTTCCCCCTGATGTGACGGGCAACAGATGCCAAAATACCACGCTATCCAGGCTGTCAATATTTCAACTGACAACATTTCAAAATCTACTTGGAAAAACAGAAAACGGTAATACATACGCATTGACGTCCAGGTGGACACAACATTACTACCACTCTTGGGACAACGAATAACCTCGCTAACTTAGAGCCTCCCCAAAATGTTTCCAGCGCCAAGATTCTTCTACAGTCTACTTACGGATAATGAATCCAAAAACAGTATCTCAGTAACTGTAGCAGAATGTTTAGCAAGCACAGACACAGCGCAGGTGGGAAGTCAGGGAGAGCAACTTGCCGGGAAGGGGTCATTTCACAGCCTAATACTTAGCTGGTCATAAAAATTGTGACCAATGCCTCAGCTTCAAAATACACGTTCATATGAACACATACTGCTTCTGCCTCTAAACGCCACCTAACCCTCTCCCTCGCTCCTGACGACTACATGTGTCCTCCACGTCCACTCTCGCTATCAAGGCTCATCGATCCGGGGACTGTCAGTCCTTGGTATCCTTGCGCCGCACCTCGGCCGTCACCCGCAGGTAGGCCGGGACCCCACGAAGCTGACCGCTGGCTGCAACGTCCCTTCCCTGTTTGAAGGGCCCAAACTACAAGGGCCCCAAACCGGTAACGGGGGAGCTTCTAGGACAAGGGTGGACACCCAGCTGTCGCTTCCAGCGGACGGCCGTGGCCAGCCTTCTCCGGCTGCCAGTGAAGAGGGACGCGGTCTCGGCGGGCCAGCCGGCGCGGGCCCGTTGTGTGGGGGGAAGCTAGCCCAGGGCTGCGGCGGGGAGGAGGCTGGGGTGCGGGTCGTGCCAGGGCAGGGCGACCCTCGGCCGGAGCAAGCAGGAGCGCGGGCGCTCACGGGGCCCCTCCGGCGCACC